TGAATACTTTAAATGTTCAAATCAAAACCTGACTGTTTATTACCCAAGTATTACATAATATTTATATCCCAGTTTTTATCCCATACCCTCAAAATCCACATAAAAACCCACCCAGAAAATAAATGTATACCTCAAAGTTTCCTACATAGAAACTGGAAATTGAGAGTGAAATTTAATCCCTCATTTCGAGGATGAATGAAAAATTCAATATTATTGGCTTACAGCCATTTCACTTGCTCATTGCCCAGGACATAAAAGTGACAGCCTTCATTGATCATCTCGGATCCACAAAACCATGGAAGTTCATGACATACCCGACCAAGGACAGAAATCACAGAACACAGAACATGACAGGAACCGTTATTGCCTAACCACTACCTGGGTATATATCCATTCTTAGTTGGAATGATATTTAGATGTAGAAGAGTAGTGAAAGGATATTTACCAGTGAATAATCCAGGAGGTACTATACCCATGATGACGTCATCAGAACAGGGTACTGAACAGTCGGAACTCGAATGCAGCGCAACGGGTACCAGAACATGGAATCTATCCCCCAGTTTTATCATAACTCACTGTACAAAAAAAACCTGACATCCAGGGTAACCAAGTTGATAAATTTACCAGGTACACCACTCAATTGCACCAAACGTGCACTATCTATGTACCAAGTTCCACCACTATCACCAGTAGAACCCGTTTATTCGGTTATTCAAATCACCCTGAGTTTGGTTCAGCGCGCAGGAGGTTAACGGAACACAACGAAAAGGTCCTGTTCTGTCGAGGGTAGTGTCTGATATTCCGAACACAGCATATCAACGACAGAACAGTGGACAAGCTGATCATACTACTAATAATAATGACAGCGAAATGTTAACACCATACCAGATGACAGCCTAAACAAAAATAAATCTCAAATCCAAAATATGATTCCCTAAAATGAATCTGTTTGAAATAACAGTAGGTACAGAGTGTTCTTCTATTATACCATATACGTTTACCTTATGATTGAGTTCTTTTTTTTTTAGGAGACTGAATACAGATGGTGGTGACTGCTAATTTACGATTAAAGATAGCAGCAGATATGGAAATAAACAGACTCGAGAACTAGGAATCAAATTATGGTATCGAGGTCTAGGCAGGTATCTATGTAATTCATGTACAACAGAAGGATGATTTGATACAGCTGTGCAGAGAAGTTGACTTGGTATATCGAGAGACCCGATGTTAGAATTTTACCAAGTAATAAGCAATAAACGTTGAAGTTTCAAATCTCCGCAGAATCAGTGAATTAATTCATCAAAAAGGTACGATAGCTAAAAATGAACGTTATACATGTCATCCAATGAACATCCAATAGTCCATGGAATGATGTGGGTAGGTAGTCGAATGAAACGATGATTCGAGTGATGCGTAGCAAGGTGGTGGAGCATAGTGGTCTATAGTGGCAAACAACCACACTGGCACCAGGACGAAGCCCCAGCTTATTCAAGACGGAATGGTAACAATCAGCAGCCTGATGGTGACATGACAAGAATGTCCGAGAGAGATCAGCATCCATGACTCCATGGAGATCATCGCCGGCAAGGCAATCATATTCCACTTCATTCACTCCAGAAAACACCATAATATCAAAAAAAAAACTATAATGAATTAGGAACAAATGTTCACATATATTCTATATTAAAACTGACGAAACTCACCTCTGTTGATCAGAGGGTTATTTATGACAAATCCCATAACTTTGGCCACATGGTCGCAAATCAGGTTAGCAGCAGTCATCAGCATAGGCATCACGTTATCAGGCACCAGGTCAGGCATCAGGTCAGGAATCGAACGGGGCAGCATACAAAACAATATGCACTCACATACCCATCAGGAAACGATAGTCTTGATCCAAATTCAGTTGATTACACCATAAAAAAAATTATCACAAGGCACTCGAATTCACATGTCTGCTTCCTCGGCAAGCAAAATGGAGAAGAACCTCATAGCACACTTCTCTTCAGAACCAGTCCAATTCTTGTCACTAAACCTCAGAACAATAAATCATCAATCAATGAGTTGTTCCAGCTAGTATCGTGCTGCGGACTTGATGGCGTTCTATCGATGACGTAGTAGCTCGTGGAGTATGGCCAGATAATGTCACTGATGAAGTTCATAAACATCAGCTTCATCAGGATGCAGATGAAAATCAGAAGATGAAGAATTGGAATATACGGGACCCAGAAGACGAAGAAAACAATCTGACGTTTAATCCTAACCACACTATTTTCTGAAGATGAACATTGAATAACTTGTCAAAATATGTGAAATTGGAAATTATTATTGTACAAGAACATTAATTCTGAACCAGAAGGACGGACAATATGTACATTTTCTTTTATCGCTTGGAGCGCATGAAAGGGAATCCCTATAATGTTCAAAGAACATCATGCATTCCTAGGGAGGATAGGGACAGGAGGTAGGTAATGGAATATTTCTTGAACTTCTGGAGATTATATGTTGTTGGGAATACTTCTACAGGCAATGAATTCCAGAGCCTTGCCGTTTTATAGATGAAGAAGTCTTGATAAAGTGCTGTTCGACATCTTTCGGGGTTGACAGCGGAAGGATGTGCTGACTGGGCTTGTCTAGTTTGTCTGATTGGTATTGCTAGTGAAGGGATGATAGCAGAGATTTCCGAAGAACATTTTCCGTGGAAGTATCGATAGAAAAGTAGAAGGTCGCCCACCTTTTTAAGGTTCCAGAAAGCACTGGATATTCCTAGAATATTATCTAAATATGCTAAAAAGGAGGAGTATATTCCGAATATTCATCGATCATTCCTAGAATATATACATGTCTCTGGAACATCTGAAAGGAATATTCCAAAGTGAATAGTCGGACATGTTTAAGGAATATACAGGTATGAATTTTTCAGCAATATTCTCAACTGAATATTCTCTGTTGTATATTCATGAAATATTTTCAACTGAATGTTCTGTGGGGTATATACATGAAATATTCTGTGATGTAAATTCATGAAATATTCTCAACTGAATATTCTGTGGTGTATATTCGTGAAATATTCCATGAATATTCCTATGTTTCTCAATACATAAATACCAATCATTATTTCAGATATGTGAGTATCAAACATCAATTGGATGTAAGGAGATTTCGAAACAAACAGTGTTTATAATCCGATTCCGAACAACGCTCTCACAAGAAATTGATATGTACAACATTATTCAATTCGATTACTGGCCTAGTGGTCAAGGCTCTTTTCTGGATGGAATCTGAGAGCATCAGCGTATTTTTTTGTGCTGAACCTCATATGTGGAAACAGTATTCTAGAACAGACCGTATCTGCGCTTTGTAGATCATGAAAAGCTGTTGAGGTGTAAAGTACCTTTTCGCACGGAACAAAAATCCGAGTTTTTGTGACGCAGCTTTTGCGATGGATCTGACATGATTATTCCTTGAAAGAGTGTTGCTGATGGAAATACCGAGCATAGATATGGTGAGCTTGGTGGGGATGGTGAAGTCACACATTACAAAATCGGGCATACTGAGTTCCGCCTTTCTAGAGAAAATACAGGCTTGAGTTTTGGTGGCGTTGAATTCAACTAGGTTGTTGGTTCCCTAGGCTGTGATTTCAGAAAGATCTTCATTGACAGCATTGACCTGTCTGTGCCTCAAAAACAGTATAACTCCTCTAATGAATCTTGGTGGTTATTTCATAAGAATGAACACCTACATCCTTCCACTAATACCATGGAGAATTTGATGAAATTCTTAACGATGAGGGTGCCTCCTACTTTGTTTTGAATACGAAAAAGTCGGCACTGTTCCTCATACTGAACATACAAATTGAACATCAATCAATTCTGAAGAGATGTTGAAGAGGTGTTCATAATACCAGACCAAGTCAACCTAAGTACATCTTTTCATGGGATCCAACACCAGTCTTGCTTTTCATCAGCAAATGACATCCTTTACCAACACTCAAACTAGAAGAGTTTACTCTCAAATTAGTCACTTTGATCGCTCCAACTTCAGCACATGGATGTCGAACATTAACCAAAATTAAATCGAATAACATTATTTTCTTTTCTGAAAATGTAGAAATCAGAATCTCTAATAGAATTGAAACTTCAGGGCTTGACAAGATTCAATCTATAATTATTGTGCATTTTTTCAAAGAAAAGCCAGACCTTTGTGTTACCTCAACTCTGGAATATTATTCAGAAATAACAAAATCATTAAGGCCAGAGGGAACTGATGAAATGTTGATGAAATATAGAAAGCCATACCATGCAGCATCTAGTCAAACAGTCAGTAGATGGATCGAAACTGTAAAATCAAGAAGTGGTATGGACACCACCAATATATTCAAAAGTCATTCCACCAGGCATGTATAGCTACTTTCACTGCCTCCAGAGCAGGCGTGAGTATTGATATAATAAAAAACACAGCTGGATGGACAGACGCATCTAACGTATTCGATGTTTTTCATAATGAAACTGTTAGCCCTGACATCACCTGATTTTCGAGAGCTGTATTGGGTATAGATGGAGCAAATGGGTCTGATGGCCTTAATAATAAGTAATGATTTAGTTACCATGAATTTCATGAATTGTTATGTTATGGAGATTTGTATTTTCATAACATCTTTGCTGTGGATGTGAAGATGTTATAACGTTCAATGTTATTCTTTGAATTACTCTTGTTCTATATTGTTGATCAAAATATATGTTCATATTGAAATAGTCTAAATTGATGAGTAATTTATACAAAATGATTTTTTCTCGAGTCAGTTAGATTGCATATTTCTCTTCAAACATCTACAGTGTGTTGTAATTATAGGGTACAAAACTATGAAGAATGATTTGAAGATTATTCGACTTACCTAAGTAAGATCAATCTGAATTATGCGAATAGTTTTGTACGGAGATAATTACAATTCCACCCACCCACGTACAAGGTTAACCCTTATGCAATCTAACTATATGACAATGAGGTATACTGGTCGGTGGATGGCAAAGAGGTAAGAATATTTTTTGAAGTGTGAACGGTGTCCGCTTCAGGTTCGCCAATGCGACTACAGTGTGTTGTAATTATCTTCGTACAAAACTATTCGAATAATTCAGATTGATCTTCCTTAGGTGAGTCGATTAATCTTCAAATTGTTTCGAGAAAAGAAATGTTTTCGTTGCATTAGGTTATGATCTGGTTGATAAGAGATGCAGTACTTGTTGAGTGAGGAGTAAACAAGTACAGACGTACGACAAAAAGCGTGTTTGAATTCAATAATCCGTTGGCCACTGAGTAGAATCAAGAAAGTTCCCAAACTCTTGATAGAAAAGTATTACTTCAGGTTCAGTCAGAATCCAGATGATTTCACCCATTTGCCCAACCCTGTACTGAAATAGGAACATTAAATGTATCGTAGCATCCTGACAAAGAGTAACGATTACTATGTCAAATCACAAAAAGCCAAGATTCCTAAGATAATTCATCGAATCACGTTTCGCAAACGCCTACAATGCCTGAGCAATTGGTTTAACCTTTGAATAATGTAAGGCGTGTGCTAATGGATGCGGTGGGCAATTCATGGTTCGAGTGCCATTAGAATATTTCGATATATCATTATGCATCTTCATTCATCATCATTATTTGTCGTGAGCATCCAAATGTCACCTAGAATGTTAATGTCATATAAATAGATTGATTTATCGATGAGAAAACGCAAAATTTGGTCTCGAAGAGGAGGTAGATTTTAGAGAAAACATGTTAATTCACTAGCTGAAACTTGTTTTATTGAATATACGCAGCTGGTCTCATCATCCATTTATCTGAGTCTTAATCAGTTCGGATTTCCATTGTGGAATTGTCCATATATACAGGGTGTTTCCTTACTACGGTTCCTAACTGCAGGTGGTGATTCATCAGGTCATTTTAGGAAGAAAAGTTCCCATTAACATATGTCCGGAGTTGCTTCGTTTCTGAGATACAGGGCGTTAATAAAGTTCAAGAAAAAACGGTAATTATAAAATATCAAGAATATCCTAGAACCGATTCGTTTAAAATTTGGTACTTTCATTTGAACTAATAAGGCGCTCATTTAGCCTTATTTAGATTGAAATTATTGGGGTCAGTGGCGTCTCAGTGGGTACCACAGCCAACAATATTGTGAAAAAAAAGTACGCTACTGACTTTTTTTGATGAATTTTTATATTGTTTAGATTGAGCAACTCAAAATACAACTTTTTGGTCTTCTGCACTTTCTTCATATCCAGCTTCGTTTTCGAGAAAAAAAATCAAAGCCACTGTATTGCATATCATGAACACCTTCATTGGAGACATGAGTTTTTCATTATTTCGGCCAAAAATTTTATTGACACTTGATATGCTGAAATTTCAGAAAATTTGACAAATAAAAGTACGAAATTTCAACCAAATCGGTTTCAGGATATTCATGATATTTTATAATTATTACCGTTTTTTTCTTTAATTCCAATGCCCTGTATCTCAGAAACGAAGCAACTCCGGACATTTGTTCATAGGAACTTCTTGAAATGACCTAACAAATCACCCCCTGCAGTTAGGAACCGTAGTTAGGAAACACCCTGTATAGCGCGAAATAAAGTGTGACTCTAATTAAGTGGATTTGATCGAACTATACTCACATTGATACTTGAAAAGTTCATAGATGGGTAACTATTATCATGAATTAACTATGGTGAATTTGGGAAGAATGTCAACCAAAAATTATACAACAAGAAGTACGGCTCGTGGGTCATTCTTTGAGATTACCTGATTTCTTAGTATCATAGCGATATTCTCTATAGATGTATTCATCGAGTAGATATCTATAGAGAAACATTTCATATTTAGTTCACTCCGATACTCTTATATTCATGAAAAGAAATCGAAATTTTTCCGCAACTCGATATATTCAGTTTTGCTAAATAGAGTTACAGACTGCACCGGGTGTACTACTAAGGAAGGACGCCAGAAAAAAGTTTGAGATGAAAGCGACCAAGAGAAATCTCTGTAAATTATTTTCAAGTGAAGAGGATGGCCGCTGGAGGCCGTAATTGCATTCGCTAGTGAAAACACTTGTTTTTATAAGATTAATTTCTTGTTGATTTTCTATCATCTCGATAAAAAATAATCGCACTAGCTTTCTAAATGAAAGAGGGACGATAGAATGAATAGCGCTGTGGAAAAACTCTGAATACTACAGTTCAGCATAACGAAATTCCACGAAATTGGTCCCATTATGGAAAAATTTCTCAGATCTTCCAGATGAATCAGGTCAAGTTGATTCGGATCCCGTGGGGGCCACTAGATGGCAATTTTTGAAAAATAATAAAATTTTGTAAGCATCTCGAGAATTTCGGATAAAATCAGATATTTTATTTCACGTTAACATGGAAGTAGAGCGAACAAAAATAAATTTTGTAAAAACCTCTCGAATAACCAGAAAAATAATCCAAATAATATAAGAAAATATAAATCAAATAGATACTGAAATAATTCGTATCATTAGTATCTTTCTAGGTGCTAAAATTATCTTTCATCGTTGTCTATATAGGAACAGTGGCGGATTATAGGTGAGGCGCGAGTTCCTCAATTCAATTTCAAGATACCTACATACTGTATATGCGTTTCTGGGTATTGTGAGAATATTCCAAAACGCCTCGAATTTATGTAACTAGAACCATCAATCGTCAATGATGTACTTGTAGTTAGTTATGCGCTCGCCTATACTCAGTTGATCAGTGTTGTTGCGAGAAATGTTTGATAGTTCGTTCTGAAATTGTTCTATCCGTCATTCGGTTTCCACCTTAGGAGCAACCCTCACAGCAGTCATGGCCTGCAGAAAACTGTTTTCGTCGGAAAGCGGAGATTGAAATTGAGAAAACCTGACATTGACATCACAGTTCCGTCATTTTTGTCGATCATGACCCAATTATACTTGAAGAAATAAACGAAATTGAAATTATATCATATTCCTGCGTAAAACGAATAATTTCACGACAGACGGATCTGCTGTATTCGACAGGAGAATAAGAGTAGAATTTGTCGGATAATCACACGGTCACGACATAACCGAGGAGTTGTGAACATTGGATATTGAATAACTCTGGGAAGTAAATAAAAACAAAGAAATATATTTATACCGATTTTCCATGACTATTTAATAATATCTAAAAATATACACTATTCACATACCAACAGTGGAGGAGTGTGCCGTACGTATCTTTGTTATACCTTGTAGGATTTTTTGCATTTGTTTGTAAATTCTTATATGGATTGTTTTATTCATGTTCAGAAAAAAACTATTGGGAAAATAAAATATGATAATCATCATTGGACGAAAGACCACAGCATACACATCCGTTATATCAAATGGTTTACGTATAATTCAGGAAGTTTCAGGAGAGAATTTCCATTTGATAAAAGATTTTTGTTGCCTCTCCATTGGATGATAACTTTTGTATGACTTTATTATTTGGTTCGTTTTTGAAAACTTACAACTCATGAGAGGCGTGCATAGATAGCGTGGTATACAGTGTGTTCAACTAGACACACCACTGCACGAAAAAAAAAACACTAGCCCTGGGTGAATATTCAATAGTGACAAGTAAAACTCGTATACAATTTGGGACAAGGAAACAAGTCAATAGTACAAGAATATTTTTGTGTTCCTTAAGATGTACACCTATCATTATGAACTTTTTCCATTGCATTCTAGATTGATAACCGTGAGTAAACACATGACTTGTCATTGCTGAATCATTCACTTGTCGTTATCGACCTATCCACTCGCTATAAGTGACTTTTTTACTTGTCATCAGTGACTTGCTCACTTGTCATTAGAAACCTAATCATATCATTAGTGACTCACTTACTCAACATCAGTGACTTATTTACTCGTCATCAGTGACTTATTCACTTGTCCCCAGGCAACCGGATTACGTTCCAGTGACGTCTTTTTTATGCCACTTGAATGAACAAGGTGACGTCAGTAGTTGACGTCGCATGACGTGATAATGACGTGAATAACTGACAGATCAATGACGTCATATTACTCACGTCGTATTGACGTCATTCACTCACCAAACTGTGACGTCTGACTGACGTCATAATGACGTCGAAATGACGATTGAATTTGGCGATGATACGTGAAAAAGATTCGTTTAACATGGTGTGACAAATACCACTGGCCCCTGATGACATTATATAATATTGATTATGCATTGTTGAGTCTGCTTGGTGGGTCCCTCCTGTGTCATGTTTATTCAATCGCCTTTTCAGCAGCGCTATCCTTCAGTACGCATCTCCATCAGAATCCAATCAGTTACTTGTATTTGTATGAAAAATTATGTAGTTTTTGTAGGCGACATATAAGCAGACAAAGAATAGTTTGATAGCAATGGAAGGGATGTTGGCGAATTTGGCTTCAATTTGTTGAATAATGTATATTGATGCATTCTTTGTCACCCAAAAAAATCTGAATAGCGAATAATTGATAAATTACCTGAATGACGAAGCTCACCAAATTGGTACGTCACACCGACGTGATTTTTAGACGTCATAGATACGTCACTGCAACGTCATAAGAGTACCTAACGGTTTCAATATAGGTATACCTAAATAGTCATCTGTTAATATACATTGCTTGTTGGTTACCGAGATATACAGTGTGTCAAAGTTTTTACGAAAAAAGTTCCCTCCTACTTTTCGGGTATATCAATAATTCCAATAAAACTTGCATGTTGATCTGCTTTCATGAGTTATACTTTCGTTTTACATTATAATATATAAGTATCCATGGTTAAGAAAAGGTCTGGTGAAAATGGACGTCGGCAGGACGTCCCTGCAACGTCATGGCATTGACGTCTTCTTTCACTCATCTAAACACTACTTTTCGGGTATATCAATAATTCCAATGAATGTTGCATGTTGATTTGCTTCCATGAGTTATACTTCTGTTTTACATGATAATATATAAGTATCCATGGTTAAGAGAAGGTC